CACTTAATGCATGACTAGTCGGTGCCTATACATCATTGCCCAGTCACCATCGTATTAAATGCATGGCCAGAGTCATATAGCTTTTCGAGCCGGAGTCATAATGACTCCTCGGACGACGCCAGCACTTCAATCATTTTGTCGATGTCACATTAAATAGAGAGATGACTCATTCAACCAACCATCGATGCACGTAAAGTGTCGTCTGACCCTATCAAATTACCAATGTGCCCCTACAAATTATCTATAAATAGTGGATAATCCCACTACACCAAGGTATGTTGGATAAAACATGAAAACTAGTTTCTGCATTTGGCCAGCTTGCTTAATCAATCACTGACTTGAACGTCAGAGAGCACGTCAAGGAAAACTCCTCTGGCTCACTAGCGGTTGTTACCTGTGCACAAATCTAGCTACTTCCTCTCGTCAGGGAAGATTAAAGGACCCTAAACTCCTCCAAATATTCATCCACTCCTACAATTAACTTTCTGAGACAAACACTTAGCGTTGTGCCCTCCTTTTTGTTTCTTGATGCCTGCTATTTGCTAATGATGTAGTATTAATTAATAAAACTAGTAAAAAGATAATTTCTAAAGTAGAAATGCAGAAAATGCATGATATATTTATAGAATATATAATTAATAGAATACAATAGAATATGTAAATATAATTATAGTAGACCTGCACAAAAATACTTCACATATAATTTTAGTATTAAAAAAATGAACGTATACAATATATTGGTGTACTTGTTAAGAAAAGATGGACTCAAAGCTCTACTTTCAGAATGTTTATATGTTATCTTAAATAAAATTCTAAAATTAATATTTTAAAAATACTAAAATAGATAATAAATATATTTGTGAAGTTGTCCAACATGGGCTGCATTGGGTTGGAAGGTGGAAATCCAACATCCAAGTGCTTAGGTTCGAAATCCTTACCCATTCATCTGGCTATTTGGCCGAGAATTAAGATGAGAATCGAAATCTAAATTAGTCCATTATTTTTATTGGTTAGGTTATGAGGTGGGATCCAAATTCCAAGTGAAGGGTTTCCTAATTCCGATCTCTTGATGCCTTTCGAGCTTGTCGTGACCAGACTCACCTCTCATCAATTGATACAAGCTCACCTAGCCAATAACCATATTCAGCTCTCATCACTTGATGCTTCGAGTTTTCTTATTGGATATGATCTCTTGATGCCTTTCGACTTGTTAATGTCATGAGTCATGACTAGATTCAGCTCTCATCACTTGATATAAGCTCATCACTTGAATAAGAAAAATGTGACTATATTTTAAATTTCCAGTAAAACAATAACTACATTTCTAATGAGTCGTAAATGTAAGCGTCTAAAAATGCATATAGGTGTCCGCACACAGCTCGAGACAGAGAGAAGACGACGAACGTCGCTATCCGAGTCTAAAAGGGTTATCTGACGCCGACAAGCGCATGAAGCGAAACGGCGAACCGAGTAGGCCCGCGCGCTCGTCAATCAATTCGCGCGCGTTAATCAACATGAGCGCATCAATCAGTTCGCGCGCGTCAATCAGCTCGCGCACGTCGGTCAACACGCGCGTGCCAATCAACACGCGCTCGTCGATCATCTCGCGCGCGTCGGTCAACACGTGTGTGTCAACCAGCTCGCGCGCGTCGGTCAACACGCATGCGTCAACCAGCTCGCGCACATCGGTCAACACACGCGCGTCAATCAGCTCGCGCGCGTCAACCAACATGTGTGCGTCAATCAGTTCACGTGCGTCGGTCAACACGCGCACGTTGATTAGCTCACGCGCATCGGTCCCCCCGCGCGCTGTTTCGACCTCCGGACGCGTTTTCGACGGTTTTGAGCGGTTTTCTCGGGATTTATCTGTTCTAGGGGTTCTCAACTGACTTGATATCATCTACAAACATGGTTAAGCCGTTATTAACTAAAGATGAGGTAAAATCACTCATTCTTATCCAAAAATCCCCCAACCGAAGCCTATAAATACGAGTTCGGGGGCTCATTTCACAAGGCGGATTAATTATCAAGACGAGGAGGTGCTGCCGAGTTGGAGAGCAAGGGAGCACGAATTTCAGCAAGGACGAGGAGGTGCTGCCGAGTTGGAGAGCAAGGGAGCACGAATTTCAGCAAGGGCTAGAGAGATCCCGGCGAATCCCGACATAAAGAAGGAGCAATTCGAAGGATCTGAAGCCTGTTCCCGTCCGTTCCTCGAGATTAGGCTTGATCTTAATCTCGAGAAGAGCTACTGATTTCACTTGGTCAATTTCAGCGCTTTAAGCAAATACCTCCTTTGTGAGGTAGAAGCTCTGTCGAATTTTCAGCAACCGGATCTGATCAAAAGTGGTCCACGGATAAACCCTGGCACATGCGAAGACACTCACGCAAGCAGGAGACGATAAACGGATTTTGCGTTTATTTTCAAGAGAATTGTATCTTTTATTTTCATTGTGTAAAGGTCTTATAAAAAGACCGATCTTTTTGAACTTATTATAACGATCAAAGTTGTAATGAGTTATACAATGAAGAAAACAATTTTTGACGAAAACAGTAAAATGTTCTAGAGATAAATGATGTGACCATCCTACTTTATCCCTACAATGCAAGGTCATATGTGTGTTTGGTTATTAAAGATAAGCCCCGACACGGTTCTATTTAACTTCACACAGATGGATTACGGATGCAAATATTTGATAAATTTCCAAATCGACCCCAA